TTATCTTACCAATTAATTGCATATTGAACTACAGACATTACATTATCATACAATAATTATTTCTTATGAAATAATGAGGATATCATTATATTTAACTTATATTAAATAAAATATCAAAAATAATATTTTTTTWAAAATCAGTCATGTATCAAAATGCATTTTGAAACTGAGAAATTAGCAGCCTTACAGAGTGAACTTCCCTTACTTATTTTAGTCTTTATTGTCATTGTGAAAATGTTAATAACACAAAATATTACTTACATCCCTTAATTTATGCTCACAACAGTTATAAACCAATAATAATGATTTCTTATAAAACAACAGACTTTAAATATTTATGAAAAAAATATAATTTTTTCAAATATTAATTATATATGTATGTACTATACTACTATATTTAATTTATAAATCATGTGCTACCGATAATAATTACCTTATGATCCTAAAATTGAATATAAAACAATTTATTTGGAGTTTCTAAGTGAACTTATTTTGATGTTTTGGATTGTTTTCTATACATAAATTAAACATTAATTATTGTTTACTTTTTCAGTTGGTACAATGTTAACTCCAAATTTTGAATTGGATCAAACTGATGATTATTTAATCATAAAAATCAAAGCTAGATTTGCTAATGTCAACGAAACAGAAGTTGATGTTAATGGTACTCAAGTCACATTTCATTCCTCACCATATTACTTATGTCTTAATCTACCTGGTGAAGTAGAAGAAACTGATTCTTCATCTGGGTCTTATGACTGGGATTCATATGTCTTTACTTTTAAATTAAATAAAGTTAATCCAGGAGAGCATTTCCCAGATTTAAATCTCATAAACAAATTTTTAGCACCAAGAAAAAATTCTCGAACAATTAATCCGTCTATCGAAGTTCTCAATGAAAATTATGAAGATGATGATGACAGCGCTATAGATTGTAACTTTTTACAAAATCCTGTATCTGATGAAAACATTAATTGTATGAAATATGGATTTGCCAATCAAACTCAAAATGGATTCAATAATTTTTCTGATGAATTTTTTGAGATTATTGAAATCAAAGATCCCGATAATTTAAATCTTGGAAAAAGAAGATCATTGCAAATTGCATCAGAAATATCAGAATTTTCTGATGATCATTATTTGGCAGATTTGATGACGGAACCTGATGAACTTAAAGATATCTTAAACTTTAAACCATTTTGGTATGATGCAACATTTACCTTAAATGATTCTCATACTGATATTTTAAAATCATTTGGTAATAAAGAATACTTATTAAGCAACGATGATAAAAAATCAGCCTTACTCTCATTGGTAGATATCATGTATGCATATTGTTATTGTATTCGAACAAACTTTGGTGAAGAAAATTCTGAATCCCCTTGGATAATCAACAAAATCTCATCTACACTTTCTTGGTTTCGTAGTTTTGAAACGTTTGATGAGGCTATACAATCGTGTATCAGACGAAGTTTGTGTTATCCTTTGTACAGACATTGGGATTTAAGCATTTTAGTGCTTTCTGATGTTCGTAAAGTATTTGAAAATGGATGTGTTTGTTTACTTACATGTTTGTTGGATATATACAARTTATTTAACTTGAGTGAACCCAGATATGTATTGAACCAACTGTACATTAAAGACTATTGTATATGGATTCAGCAATTGAAGAGTACACATTTTGATACCATAGTTAAACTTATTGATGAAAATAAAGTCAATAAAGGACTTTTACAATTAGATTTAGAAGAATTGGAAGTGGCCGCAATGAGTGTAGAGGAAGATCTAGAACTTTTAAAATTGGAACTTGCCCAAAACGATAACAGCAATAGTATTGAGTCTAAACTGGAAAAGTTACATATTTCAAGCTCAGAAAGTAGTTTAGATTCTGATGACGACGAAGAAGAATCTTCAGAATAAMATTTTTATATTTATATAATTTTATGCCATGTATTATTATACTGATGTATACAATTAATAATTTCATTAATTTGTTCTGTAATATATTTATTTATTATTTACCCTACATTTTTAGTCAAATATTTATTTGTAAGAATTCTAAATTCAATCCATAAGTCATGATTACATATTATTACAATGCCTGTTATGAGTACATTATACTATATTTTTAAGGCTTTTTCTTGTTTTATAGCATTTAAATCTGTTTTCTAGTGAAGTATTAATGTCATATGACTTAATGAGTTATAGGTTTATCGTAAATTATATACAATATACATATTATTTCATACTATTATCTGATGCCAATGAATTTAGTTCCTACTGTTCCTAGAAGTTACTTCTTAATAACGTAATATGTCATCTAGATGACACGAGAACATTTTAGTAACACTAATAAGTCTCAGATGAGGAACTATAGTATATTAGTTTAGTATCTATAGCCGTGTCTACATTTCTACAAGACCTCCATGGCGCCATCACCAACTTGGCTTTTTTTGGAATTTGCTGTTATTACTAGTTAGCTATCTAGTTTATTATTTTATATAATAYATATCTAATGTAGATAAGCTTACAGCTACATAAATATGTAATGATGAGATAATAGACCAATTATAAACCAATTAGTAAAAAAAAATTGTAATATAGATGATCTTTAAAACACTTTAAAATTTTAATTAATGTTAATTTTATATTTACAATGTTTTTCTAATCAGAGACTTAACATAAGAAATCCCTATTCGGCAACTTAGTTCAAATGATATGCTCACRTATCTTTAACATTTTTTAGTGTGTTGAAATAATTTTAATTTTAGCTTTTAAACTAAAATGTACAATACATCGATTTATTTGAATATTATGTTGGTGAATTTAAAAATAATAAAAGTATTATATAAACAAGATAATGAATGCACAAAAGCAAAATGAAGGGTGTTTAAAAGTTTTTGAATTTCGTGTTCAAATAGAGGGCGAGACGCCCCCCCCCCTGGTAAGGGTTTTTAATATATCAAAGCCTCTTCAATCATACAAATTCATGTAAACATTATATATATACTAGAGAATAGAATAATAAAATTGCAATATTTTGAATATTATAGGAGGGCTAGTGTGACGAAAGTACATAATCTATCTTTTATAATTCTATATGTACATATAAAAGACCACTCCTATCCTATTCACTCTTCACTCATCAACATCCAGACCAATCTGCTGGGTCTAGATTTGAAATTTTATACAAAGGTTCCTTAAGCAATGTTGGGGCGTGATAATTTTCAAATTCAACCTCTAAGGGTAAAAGGGGTAAAAATGAAAAAATAACCTAGCCGAAACCGTTGAAGCTATGAGTAAGGAATTCAGACAGTAGTTTTGTTTYATAGTGTAGTCAGTGTAGACACCCACTAAAAATAGATTTTTCAAAATTCAACCCCCTACCTTAGTTAAAAAGGGTTAAAAATTTAAAAAAATCACTGAACCACTGAAGATATGAGTATAGAATTGTGTCAGTAAGTTCATTTTATAATGTGAAAATCTCCTAAAACAGGATTTTTCAAAATTTGACCTCTATAGGGGTTAAAAGGGTTAGATAGTATAAAAAAGAAATATTGTCCATTTGATCGGTTTAATCTCTGAAATTATTGAACTGATTTTACAATTTTTTACGATCAGAAAGCTACACAATCCCATGAATCTATAGGCTATATATTATATCTTGATAAGTTGCCCTTAATTTTTTTATTGACAATTTAAGATGTTTTATAGAAATAATAATAATATTAGAATTATTAGATATATTTTTGTGTATTATATGGATTTAGTATGAAAGAATAAGAAATTAACAATTTGTTATTATTTATAATAAAGAACTTAAACTATTAAATTATAWTTAACTATTTTATGTTTCAATATAAAAAGCACTTTGAATAAAATATAATTATACATACTCTAGATTGTTAAGTGTTAACCTTATTAGTAGGTAGGTACACAAAAAAAGTTGTTTGTAAACTGTTTACGAGTATGTATACAGTATACATATAATATAATAGCTATATTGCATAAAACGACTACTTGCCATAAAATCAAGTATTTTGTTTCATTGAAACTATCGTATGAAAACTAACCATCAATGGACAATGATTCAAAAATAAATCGTAAAATATAGGTCATTGAATGTGATATATTATAAAATAATTATTAATTTTAATATGATGATCTATTATA